ATCCCCATCCCTTTATTCCCCTTCCCAATCCCCACCCCCCATCCTTATCCCCATCCACATCCCCCTCCCCACAGGGGACAGACCCTCTCCTCCAGCAGCCGGAGGGGCTTTTTTGCATTTTTTTTTTTTTTTAACCAACCCTGGTTTTTATCAGGTTTTTAGCTAAAGCCCAGGTTTTCACGGGGAGGCCGGGGCTGGCCGACGTGCAGGGCTCAGCCAGGCACCTGCCCTGTCTGTGGCACATGGGTGACAGCCCTGCTCAGCCACTTCCCCAGGGATAACCCCCCCTCGAAAGCAGACAAGAGCATGGAAATGGAGTGAAACCAGCCCTGCGGACAAGCTGTTTGCAAAGCCACTGAGCATTCCTCCTCTTCCCTGCAATCCTTAACACACGTCCCTCTCTGCTAATAACTCGTCGGGACACCAAAATAACAGCCTGCACTCTTCCTGCATGACAGGGCACACCGGCTCCTCGGCCAGCATCCTCGTGCTGGAAAATAGGTGTGCTGAGAAGGGCCAGAAAATAATGGCCAGAAAAAGCAACTTAAAACCTGATGTTGTTGGGGTTCTTCGAAGGACTAAAAGTGGGTCTCAGAGGGGAAAAGGCTGGCAGAGACCCCAGGAAGCTGCTCGGAGCAGCGTGGGTCCCTCCTGTCACCTACCACATGGACACGGGACCAAGAGCTGGTGTCCCGTGGCCTCTCTGTGGGAAGCCAAGCCCAAGGGTGATGCTTTCGGGAGGGGGTGCTGGGGGTGCTTGTGGGGTGTAGGACCCCTGAGCACGGGGGTTTGCTTTGCCTCTTTGCTTTGAGAGAGGGGCAGGTGAGACGAGGGAGAGGGCTCCCTGCAAAGGGAAGGAAAGCGAGGAGGAGGAAATGAAAACTAATTAACTAGTAAATGTGCTGGGTTGGCTCGGGGGCAGCAGGAGAGCGAGCCAGAGGGCTGACTCACTCTGACTCAGTCTGCAAAGAGTGGGTTGAAATCTGGCGTGGGTGCATCTCCTGCCCCGGCCACGCGGCCGGGCTGCGGGCACCCAACCCAAACCTGCCGGGGCCCGAGCATCCCCGCGGGGACCCGCCTCGCCCAGGCGCCGCTTCCTTTGCAGGGGAGAAGTCGTTTTCTCGAGGGAAACGAAGCCAGATTCGCCGGCAGGAGCAAGCAGCTCGGATGGAGCCAGGCCTTTTGGATGCCCCCCTATTTTCACCTTAAAACTGGCCAAGAGCAGGGTGGGTGGGAAATCCACCCCCCCCCTCCGCCCAGCCAAAGCCACTGCCGCCATGGGAGAAGATGCCGTGACCGCCGCCGTGGGGATCCCAAATAGCGACCCTGAAGCTGGCAAATGCATCCAGAGCCAGCGGTATGACCAAAAAGATGGCTTTGAAGGGATGGATTGAACCCTGCCCACTTTACCGAGCTGGGCACCCGGCGGGGACGCAGCCCCGGTGCCGCCCGGCATGTCGGTGCACGCCGGCGGGGAGGCTCTGCCTTCCCCTCCGCTCCCCTGCGCCCCGGCTTCGCCCCGTTCCTGCCCGATGACTGGGTGCGATTGCTTCACCCCCCCCCCCCCCCCCCAGGCTCCAGCCGAGGGGTGAAGGTCCCTCTCGCCACCCACTCCCTGCCCCCCGGGGTGCTGCTGCCCCGGTGGGCATGGCAGGGGGACGCGCTATTTGGGCGCGTGGCAAGGAGAGGGGCGCGGGTGTAGAGGCGGCCAAGAGCATCCCTCAAGGCTGGGGGGGGGGGGGGGGGCGTCACCAATCTGCACCCCCTTTTCTGAGGGGCTGTGCTGGAGGTTTCAGAGGAGACGGGTCTCCTTGGAGGGGGCAGAGCTCCCATCTCCCCGCTCCAACCCACTGGGGACTGGGTTTAGCTGACGCTGGGTTTGAGGCAGCCGAGTTAGGTGAGAGAAATCCTGCCCTCTGCACAGGCATGAAGAAAAAGAGAGGAAAAAAAATGTTGTGCAGTCGAGTTGGTTTTTTCCCACTCCCGGAGGCTTTGGCACAAACTTACTTTATTTTTTTTTTTTTTTTAATTTTGTTCTCGCTCTCTTTTTTTTTTTAAAAATATTTTCAACCACTTAAAGACTGAAGTCTTTCACCTCCTGACAAAACCCGGGCTCCCTGCCAGCACATATTTCTGATAATTCATCCATTATTAAATGAAATCAAAGATATGAGTTTAAAAAAAAAAAAAAAAAAAGACATGAGACTGTTTGCATCCAAGAGAGGCTGTTTACAGCTGGGCTGGAATTTTCTTTAACTGCAAAAGGATCTCCCCAAGGAAAACCCACCCAAAACACTTATCCTGCTCCTCAAACTGCAAACATCTCCGGGCAGCCATGCCAAAAACCCAGGGATCCTACGGCGTTTTCCTGCCTGGATAAAGGCAATTCCATCCTTGCTGGGCTGATAGAAGCCCTAACTGGAGTGGGTGCTGCCAGCGGGCTGCCCGGGGAAGAGCCTGCAACCCATGGCCAGAGACAGCCTGACTGGATCAGCCGGTCCTCTCCAAACCGGAGAGAGAGGAAAATCTGATGGAGAGGGAGGGGCACAGCAATTACAGCCTTTTCGCTTTAATAACCCTCGCTGCTTCCCCGAGACCATATTTACATCCTTCTCGGCACAGAAGTAGTAATTAAAGTCTCTCTGCTCAGGTCTAAACAACAGCAGACCCTCCTGTTATTAAAAGCAGAGAGGCAAAGCTGAAAATAAACCTGATTTTTACGGCTAGGGAGACTCGAAGCCCTGTCTATAAACTGGCTAATCAAGGAGGGCAGCAGGATTTAGGGCCACATGTCCGTGCTCTGCTAAGGCATCGATACGCTGCATTTATCTCCATGGGATGCAGGGGACGGAAAACCACTTGGAAAACAGCTCCATGACCCTGGTTTCTTCTCACACCATTTTTTCGGCCTTTTCCAGCACCCATAAGGGAGCAAATGGGTCTCGGGGTCTGGGGGCACTGGCTGACAGGCAGAGCTGTGGCCGTGCCGAGAGCTGCTCGGCGGCAGCTTGTGCCTTACCTGAACAGCTCGGGCCCTCCTCTCGCTATAAAGAAGCTATCAGAAAATTTTGAGGAAATTAATTATTCACTAAGACTGCTAATTAAGATGATTTCCTCTGTGAAGGCATGGAAGGAAATGAGCCGGAGAAGCTCTTAATTGTTTAAAAAGAGCCGTCCTACAGGCGTTCCTCTCGAGCTGCTCTGCCCACTGAGAGCGCCCGGCCCCGTGTTTCGCCGGGTCCGAAGGAGTTTTCCAACATCGGCGCCAACCTCACACCGCGCAGGTGCCTTCAAAGAAGCAATAAGGTGAGCCATAAAGTGCTCCTAAACTCCCGTCCCCAAACTGGGTGACCCAACGCACCCCCAGCACCATGCTGCTGCCTCCTCCCCATGGGGTCCCTGGGTGAAACCAGGCCAGAAGAAACAGCATGTTCCTCATTCAGGCTTTTTTTAGATGACCCAAGAGCTCAAGGAAGACCTCATCTTGCCCTAGGTCTGGCACAGTGTGGCACTGGCTCCTGGGCAGCCATGGAGAGTGGGTCAGGACTGCGCTGGGGGAATCCCTTCCTTGCCACTGCTGGGTCACCGTGGGGTGCCCCATCCTTTGCCCTGGCCCCAGCACCGTGTCCAGGCAAGCCCCCCTGCCCAAGGGGGGGTCCCCATGGGGCAGCCAGGACAATCCCCCATTGCCACCAGTCTTTCAAGGCGGGGTTGAAATCGCAATGGTGTGGTCAACAAGACACCCAGTCTACCGATACCCATGGCCAGAAGGAAGTCTGAGCATCGGCTCTCTATGTCATGATGGTTTGGGCAATCCCGAGGGCCTGCCAAAAACACCCAAGGCACGGCTGCCATGTATATAAAAAAACCTCAAAGCTACACGCAGCTTGATAATCCAGCAACCTGCAACCCCAGCTCATTTCTAGCGCGTGCCTGAGCTGTTAGCAGCAACCAGGGACCCGCCATCACCCCCGCCTTGACCCTAAGGCAGAGCGCTGCACCCACTCCCCAAAGCACCCTTGGGTGGGTGGGTGGGGGAAGAGCAAGCCCCCGGTGCCTTGCACCAAGGGAATCTGCTTCTTCCCAGCTGCCGGGGTGCAGCGGGTGGGAGCAGAGGTGCCCAGGGACGGCAATCCTCCGGCGGCCCCCAGGCCATCCACCCAGCCTCCCACGGCAAGGAGTGGTCCCCTCGCCCACGCTGAGCTTTGCCCTCCCACTCCCACCACCATTTCGTTTCGGTCGCCCTTTACCGGGACCTTCCCTTCTTCTCCTGTAGGGGTTGATGGAGAAAAATGCTCTGGGATCTCCCATGGCGGAGAACAAAAGGAGTTATTTTAAACCAAATGGATTCGTCTCCAAGGCACCTTGCCGAGAAGAGGGTGATGCTGCACCAGCCTCACTTCTCCCACGGAAATCAGTCCCGGCACAAACGTGGTGGGCTTGTGGCCCGGGAGCACATCCCCTCCACCCCTCTGGCACCTGACAGGACAGGAGAAATTTAGGCCTTGGCGCAGGCAACTGCTGGGGATCGCACAACGAAGGCTGAGGGAAAACCGAGCAGATCCAGCCGAACGGCATTGCACTGGGAGCTCGGGGTTTTCCCGAGACAGCACCGTCCTCCACAAGCATCCCCAGGGACCTGCACTGTTCCTGGCACGGCTCTCGTGCCAAAATGCTGTGATAAAGGAAAACGCGGCCCCGAGGGGCACGGCTGCCAACGCTTGGCCAACTGTGTCCTCACCAGGAGAAGACAAAGCTTGATAACACCATGATTGCCCTGAGATCCCCTGCTGAGCTTCCAGCAGCTGAAAGGCATTTACAACCGTTCACAAACCACAGGTAAAACACATGGAAATGCACTTCTAAGTCAACACTGCAGCCCCACGTCTCAGCTAGGAGCCACCTAAGATGGCCCCTCCAGCACCACGTCACCGTCTGCACCACCTTTCCTTTCCCTTCCGCGGCCCAACACCATTAAAAACAGGCACTCGTTTTCCTACCTGGTGCTGGGAACATCTACAAGTCGGGTTCCTCCAGTATATCCATGGCGAGCTCGGGGTTATCTCAGCAGAGCTGGAAGATAAAGCCACCAAGAGAAAAAAACTCAGCGTCCCTGCAGAGGTGGGACGCTTCAAGGCAGGTTCCTCCTGTGCAGCTGGTGGGAGCCCATCCCGTGGGAGCCGGTGGGAGTGCAGGGCTCTTCGTGTCCTCCCGGGCTGGTGAGGCACCAGGATCCCTGGGAATTGTGCTCTGCTTGGAGGGACCTACCCTTTTTTGACTGCGGTCCAACCCCAAAGCGCATGTTCTTACCTGCTCGGTGGAAGACGGGGGAAGGCTCGAGCACCTTTCTGAGAAACACATGGATCTCAGAGGTGTGTGGATCTCTCCCAGCTCTTCCCGCTCTTCGGCCAAACGATGGTTAGGAAAAAAGGGGGATGCAAAGTTGCGGCGAGTAGGAGAAAAGTGGCCGGTGGTGCGAACGCTGCCCGCAGCTGGTGTCTACAGAGCTCTGCCGGTTGGTTAACACTGGAGCTCTGATCAACAGGTATATTGATGTCAAGCTGGGACTTGTCTCCTCAGCGAGGAAAGGGAACAGCAGAGATTACTAAGCAATGCAGGAATGTGGTTTGTTTAATATGAGCCATCAACACAGAAGAGTAAAATAATGACAGATGTGTAATCACATTTCCTGAGTCTAAAACCATGAGATAGAGAATTTAAACACCACTTTTCCCAAGATCAAGAAGAGGAGCCATTTGGCTAAGAACTCATTTGGTTACTAATTTCCTCGGCATTAAATCAGCTGTTTCCCAAATCTCCTGACACACTTTGCCGAAGCGCTCCAAGGACGGGGCTGCTCCCCGGCTCTCTTTGATGTGAGGGTAAGCAGAGTGAGAAGATGCTTTGGAAACATGAATACGCCGGCTGACCAAGCTGGCCCAGATCAGAGGTTCCTGAGCACTGCTTAATTGGTTTATTTTAATGAAAGACGGCAAGATAAATTTCACGTGGCTTTTTATCGGGGGAGCGGCGAGTGGTGGGAGACAGAAGTCAGGATCTGGGTTGAGCCAACCCTCCGAGGGCAGGCTGGGAGGAAAATGGAGCCCTTTGCCCAGGAAAAGCCTGGCAGCCGTGGAAAGCCAGAGTCTACTTGGGTTTGGTCTCTCTTGCAAGGCCGGTCTGCAGAAGGCACGTGGCCAAGGGACACCAGACCCAAAGCCCACCGAGACTGGGGGAAGAAATAGCAGCTCAGCCTCGGTCTTCGCCTCCGGCCGCAGCAGTTTCCCGAAGATCATGGTTGCAGGACCTGCAGGGGAGCAGTTATGTGCCCTCACCGTGCTGCAGATGGTGGGGAAGGGCTGGGAGGGAATGGTGTCATTTGCTCGTTGGGTGTTTTTATTTGTCTCTTAAGATCAAAAGTGGGAAAAGCACCAAGCAAGTGGGGAAGGTGCCGCCGAGTGCAGGAGCCAGCTGTAGAGGGACTCCACTCTGCCCCTTTTCTGGATTTGGGGAGCATGTTGTTTGTCACTGGCCAAATTATCAGCCCTTCTTCTGCTCTGCTGAGAAATGGGGGCCTCCAAAATGTCCCCTGGCATGGTGGTGGCCATGGAGGAGTTGCTACACTGGCCTGAGAGGCTGAGGAGGACACCACCAACATTAGACCTAGGTCAGGTATATTTTTCATGTCCAGAAACAGGCCTGAGGGTGTGGGTGCATGTGCAGAGCACCAAAGATCCTCCACCTCTTGGCCTTGGACCCTCCAAATTGAGCTTCATCTTCTGGATACTTAGATCTCCCCAGCCTGGTACCAGTGAGGTTTGCATCTGGCCCCCACACCAGCTCTCCACCTCAGCACAGTCTGGCAGCAGCTCCCAGACACTCATCCAGAGAACCTGGAGAACATCAAGAGAGCAGCTAAGCCTCGGTAGCCCAGTGTCTTTTGTAAGCTCCTCTCTGCCCCCCAGGAACTAGGTGGGGTGTCCAATCCTGCCTGTTAGTTATTTCAGGGGAGCAGCACCCAGATGGGCAGGGAATTTGCGTGGCATACCCCAACCCAGAGACTCTATGGTTGCCAGACACCAGCAGAGATGCCCAAAGACAGGGGTTTAGGGAGATGGGAAAGCCAAAAAAGGAGGTACCCAAGGGAGCAGGACCATGCTCCCTGTGATGGGAGACCTTGCAAAGCTGCAGTGCGCTGGGGCCTCTGCAGCACACAGAAAAAATGCATACCCTAACAGGGAGCTCACCCAGGACACAGTTTCTTAATTTATTTTTCATTTGCCATCATGTCCCTGTGTTGGATACCCTCACCGGTGCTGTCAGGACTCCTCCTGGCTCGCTGCCAGAGGAGCTCCATTGACCATACAGCTGATGTCCTTACAGACTAGTGATGCCATTAACTCACATCTCCCCAAGAAATGGTCCTTTATTTTCAGTTAACTGAACAAACAATGGTTCTTCCCTCAAAGGCATCTAATGAGCAGCGTCCCCGTATCTGTGACCATGTCCATGCCTTCCTCCCTGACTTTATCTGAGTGCAGGAAGCTGCTGCCTCCTGCCATGGGAAAGGCAGCTCCTTCCCCTAAATGAACTTTAATTACTCTGACTGCTTGCCAACAGCTATTCTGGTGACACCCATGCTTCCATTAAGTCTTGGTTTCACCCCAAATTGTGCAGAACCCAGGCACAGCTTGTCCCTGGCTGGCGGTGAAGAGAAACGCCCGAGGTGGTGCTGGCAGAGCTCAAAGGCCACGTTCAGCCCCGAGGAATTGGGGGACAAACACACCCCCTTGGCCAGCACCGGGCTGGTACTGCTAATCGTTGCATAAGATGTGCAAAGGGATAATTTGGGACGTGAGGAAAATGGCCTGTGCACTGAATTTGGGAGCCCGTGGAAGTGTTGATGGAGCAGGAGCAGCCGTCGGAGGCAGAGCAACCTGCCAGCCCTGCCTGTGCCGAGCTCGCCCGGTGCCCGGGGCACCGATGGGTTCCCCGGGTGTGTCTGGCAGCCCCGTGGCTTCCGTTCAGGGCTGCAATTTCATCGCCACTTACTTTATTAAGAGTCACCTTGGGTGGGATGCAGCTGTGGGCTGCGAGCCGAGCTGAATCACACCCTCCCAGCTGGTCCTCTCCGCACAGGGAGTCTAGACGGCTGGCTGATGTGGAGACATCTCCTCTGCGAGATACCTGCACGAGGGCTGGGGCGCTCCCCACATCAAAGGGCCCCTGAGCTACTAAAGTGAGGTTATAATTAAGCCACCCTGGGGCGAGAGGGAGAGAGCTTCTCCCAGGGCCGGCTGATCTCCCTCCGCGGCTCCGTCACTGGGGGTGGTGTCCTCTGCCACCACCCTGGGAGGCTTCAGTGGCCGTAGCAGGGGCTCCCGTCCCACAGCTCGTGGGGACCGTGGCTGCTTTGTGCTGGTCCTGGTCTAAAAACCAGAAGGCAAAACCTTCCTTTGCAAGCCGGTCACGCTCCGCTGCCGGCTTCTTGACTCCCTTGCACACAAAGAGAAAAGCCCTGTCAAGGTTGGAGGCACAGATGTTTTGGGACTTCCTTATAAACCATTTTGCCGACAAATTTCCCCGAAAGCCAAGGAACAGCCTGGGCAGCCACAGGCTCTGAGAAGGGCTGTCCCAAAGGGCAGAAGGAAGCTGAAGCCCTGGAAATCCTTGCAGACACCACCGCAGCCCTCCAGCGACTCGCACCGTGGGTGACCAAGCATTGCGATGCAGCAAGTTGCAATTTTGACTTCAGAGAAAACCCAGGAAAGCAGCCATTTAATTAACCAGAAGAACCTGCTTCCTGTCACTCCTTGCTGTAAAGCGCGTTGGAATCTCATCTTTAGCTACTCAAAAGGCCCCAAGAAACTCAACACCTTGCTAGGACCCACAGCCTTGAAAGTGGGAGATGCTGGATAATGATTTCTCCTTTTAGCAGGGTTTTGTCCAGCTGGACCATTTCACAGAGCCACAAAAAAAAAAAAAAAAGAGAAAATTGGCACAAGCAAGAAGCATGTAAGCTTCAGTGGGCAGAGAAAGAGCATCAATAAAGCCCACAGTAAAGGATTGAAAACTGGCAAGGAGATCCCGGCAGACAGTTGTCCACCAAAAAGCCTCTGTGAAGTGGAACGTTGCTCCTGGGGGTTCCACCAGGGTGGGTGCTGGTCACCCCTCAGCCTTTTCACCCATAATCGGGAGAGTGCTGCAAAATCACTGCTGGGAAGTGGTGCGTGGCATCCCCTGTGCACGCAGCAGAGCACACCCAAACCAGCGGGAGGGTGTTTTGTTTGTTTTTGTAGGGTACTTAAAAATAATAAAAATTTTAAGAAAATATTGCATTAAAAAGGGGGATCACTCCACCTTCCAGCCAGCTGCTCAGATGAATAACCCCAAAAAGGGAGTTATTTGATAGGGTGACCTTCCCCTCCCCCCATACACAGCATCGTCTGGCTGGCCCTTAAGCAACAGGTCCAGCATCACCCCACAGCAGCCCCAAAGTTCAAGTCAAACCCAGTGGTCCCAATACACCACAGAGCGTCCTCCCAGCACAGCCCTCCTGCCTCAGGGATAACAACCTCTCCACCAAGACGGTGCCCATTCCAAAATGCAGGGCTGGTGGCTCAGGCTGTAATTAATCCCCACGCAGGGAAACCCCAGTCGCTGACTGACCCTCCCCAAGCAGACAAGCCAAGATGCACCAGGCAGACTCTTTCCGCGGAGCAATCGAAGCCGTCCCGCTGTCCCTGTGCAGCCCCGATGGCTTCGTGGTCACTGTCTCTTCCCACCACATCGTTCACTCTCTGGATTGCCTCGGAATTGGCTTTCCATTTTCCAGGAGAACAGTTTTCGCTTCGTGATTTCTTTTTTTCTGTGAGCTGTTAAATCCAAAGTCTGTTGTGAACACAATTTGGGTGCATGCTCACAGCTACGCAACGGCCTCATTTCCCAACAGAGTCAACTGGGGAAGGCTTACTTGCGAAGCATACTGGGATAAAAAAAGAGCACCCCTTTTAAATGTGGAAACCTTGCTTACAGCTGAGTAAGGATTTAAGGTTAGTAATATGCAAGGAGCAGGCCAATGCAAAATTATTTTTATGATTCACTCTGTCTCCAACCTGGCCTGGAAGTTGTTGCAGACTTTGACTCAGATGATCAGCGACGTCGAGATGAGAGGGACAACGTAGACATAAAGATAATATAAGGTGCAGTGGCATGGTTTTATGGGCTAATTTATATTAGCCCCTGCCCAGCCAGCGTTCACCATGGTTTGCTGTATTCATCCCATGGGGTACAGTCACGCTGAAGGGGATGGAGCAGAGGACAAGAGCTGGTCATCAACACGTGCCCTTGTCCAGGAGCACGGGGGGCCGGGGAGCAGCAGCATGAGGTGACCAGGAGAACTGCTGGTGTGATGCTCTGCTCACGGAGCCGTTCCCCTTCCTCCCACGGCTTTTGCAGATTTGCTCCTAATATAGCAACACTGGTTTGAATTTGAGGCAAGAAAAATTACCCAACCTCGCTGCCCTGAGCAGTTCCAGGGCAATGGGTAAATGCATGAACTTGTCAGTGCTGCAGTTGATTTGCAGAG